GGTGTGTCCACTAATTAGCATCACAGGTGTCTACAATCTTGTCATCAGTCAGTAGGCCTATTTATAGGACTCCATGTAGTCACTGTGTTGTTTGTTGACATGGTGTGTACCACACACACAATATGGACCAGAGGAAGCAAAGGAAAAATCGTCTCAGGAGTTTATAAAGAAAATGATAGCCAAGCATGTTAACGGTAAAGTTATGAGACCATCTCCAGTCAGATAGATGTTCCTGTGACCACAGTTGTGCATGTTTTTTTTTTTATTTAGAAATTTCAGATCCATGGAACTGTAGCCAACCTCCGTGGATGTGGCTGCAGGAGGAAAACTGATGACAAATCAATGAGATGTTACACCCCTCTGTGGGCTCTGCTAGGAAGGAGAGGGGAATAAACATAAGAAGGACGAGTATACCGCAAAGTAACCCTAATGGGGGAGAAAAGGCTTGACTAAACGAAACCCAAACTCAAAGTGTCCTTGTCTTTACAAAGGTTTTATTAAAAAGAAATGAAACCAAAAGAAGGAGTCAAAACCCTTACCAAGAAATCAACCAAGTTAAAATTAATTAACTGAAAATGTCCAGAGGACCAACCACTATAATTCCTAAAATAAACCTCCTTTAGTAAAAGGGACTGGAACTTAAGATGATGGGCAACATCCCCACCAAGTAGTTAAACAAAGGTTTGTCTAAAAGACAAACCAAACAAAAGTACTAAATTAACTAAAGTTGTCAGAATGGCCAAAATAGCTCAGTAAACCGAGACTTCAAAAAGGGGACTACCCCACCAGGTAATTTACCAAAGATGGTCTAAAAGACTCACCAAACCAAAATTACCTTCCAACTCAAATTGTCCCAAACACAAAAAGTCCTAAGGTTACTGTACTTCTTCACAAGAAGTAAGCAAAACAACTTGGTTTAAACCACAAGACCGAGATAACCACCAAGGGGAGAGCACACGTTGCTGCTGCAACCTACAAACATTTCTCTCCCCTGATGAGCTCCAGCTGGCCGCTTTTGAAGGGCCAGCTGATGAGTTGAAAAGTCCCAGCTGGGTGTGACTGCAGCTTTGGTGCTTCCCAAGGAGCAGCTGCCCAAGGTGCTGTACTTCTGCACAGGAAAACGGAGTGCAGCACATCACTGGGCTCCAAAACGGTGGCGGCCGTAACAGATGTTTAATTCAAATGGTAACAAAACAGCTCATAAAATGTTCCAAAGAGATCCAAGGTGAACTTCAAACTCAAGGAACATCAGTGTCAGATCACACCACCCATTGTTGTTTGAGCCAAAGTAGACTACATGGTAGATGACCAAGGAGGACTCCATTGTTGAAAACAAATCACAAAGAAGTCTGACTGGAATACGCCAAACTACATGTTGACAAGCCATAACGCTTCTGAGAGAAGGTCCTATGGACAGATGAGACAGAAATGGAACCTTTTGCTAAGAAACATCAGCTCTATGTTCACTGATGGAATAATGAAGCATATCAAGAAAAGATCACTGTCTCTACTGTCAAACATGGAGGAGGCTCTGTATGTTCTGGGGCTGCTTTGCTGCATCTAGCACATGATGTCTTGAATCTGTGCAGGCTACAATGAAATCTCAAGACTATCAAAGGTATTCTAGAGAAATGTGCTGGCCAGCTTCAGAAAGCTTGGTCTCAGTCGCAGGTCAAGGGTCTTGCAACAAGACAAGGACCCAAAACACACACAGCTGAGGACACCCAAGAATGGCCTTCTATGAGCCCTGACTTCAATCCTATTGAGTATCTTTGGACAAAGCTGAAACATGCTGTCTGGAAAAGGTGCGCTTCAAACCTGAGACAACTGGAGCAGTCTGCTCATGAGGAGTGGGCCAAAATACCTGCTGAGAGTCCAAAGGGATTAGAAAACCAAAGATGTCCAGTTGCCCTCACTCAAAACCCTTTGGATCATCATGACCTGGATGACTGACAACCTTCACCAGCATACCTGCTGAGAGGTGCAGAAGTCCCATTGGCAGTTACAGGAATCGTTTGATTGCCTCAAAAGTTTGTGCAACAAAATATTAATTCAGGTGTACCATCGTTTTTGTCCAGGCCTGTTTCATGAGTTTATTTTTTTAGTAATTCAGATGAAGCATGGTGGAAAAGCAATGTCTGTCTTTTATTGTTTAAATTTCATATAATTGTTATTTAGGGTGATGGTGGCACAGGAGTTAAGTGCCCACCTCATGATTGGAAGGTTGCAGGTTTGAGTCCTGCTCAGTCTGTCAGTTTCATTGTGTCTTTGGGCAAGACACTTAACCCACCTTGCCTGCTTGTGGTGGTCGGAGAGACCGCGGCAGCCTGGCCTCTGACAGAGCGCCCCAAGGCAGCTGTGGCTACAACGTAGCTCATCACCACCAGTGTGTGAATGGGTGAATGACTGATTGTGTTGTAAAGCACCTTGGGGGTTCCAGGACTCTAGAAGGTGCTATATCAAATACAGGCCAGTTACCATATTATCACTTTTGTCAGATTCAAGTTATTTCTGTGACCATTGTGTGTTTTGACTGAAGGCCCCAACAGTCTGTCCATGTCTGCCTGACTGAAATACACCAACAGTGTATAAATAGATTATTGGTTCACATAGAAGACAGCTTTTATTCAACATAAAACAATCAAAGTGTCTCGCCACAAGTAAATTAAAAGTTGTTATTTTCCTGTTATTACAACTCAAGCTGCTTTAAGCCAGATTTATGCACAAATTAAGAACACCATGACCCATAAATGATGCAGAAAATCTATCCAGTTAATTTATTATTTTCAAACTTCACCAAAATCTGATCCAACCTGCTGAAGCCAGAGTTCTGAAGAGAGTTTGAAGGATACTTGACATTTCTCCAAATATCGCTGCACTTCAATGGCTCCCTGCAAAGTCCAGATTATATCTTAAAAAAATGATTTCTTCTAATTTGTAAAGCTCTACATCAAGTTCCATCTGCTAGACATTATTTTCCCACAAGTTCTCAATAGAGCACTTTGCTCTCAGACTGCACTTACCAGGCTACTTGTGGAACAAAGTTTCCTTTGATGAGGGAGACAGCTTGTTTAATTAAATCCTTCCTTTTAAATAAGTCTTATTAGCTTGAATCCTCCTGACTCATCCCTTTAGTTGTGTTGCCACATGCTTAGAATACTTTCTGGAGGATATATTGAGACAGGAAAACATTTATTTTTAATTGTCTAAATCTGAGACCATGGTCTTGAGTTGGAAAAGGGTAAATGCCTTCTCTGGGTCAGGGATGAGGTCCTGCCCCAAGTGGAGGAGTTTAAGTATCTCGGGGTCTTGTTCACGAGTAAGGGAACGGTGGAGCATGAGATCGATAGGTGGCTTGGTGCTGCATCTGCAATGATGCGGGCGTTGGACCGGTTTGTTGTGGTGAAGAGAAAGCTGAGTCAGGAGGCGAAGCTCTCGATTTACCAGTCGATCTATGTTCCTACCCTCACCTATGGTCATGAGCTTTGGGTAGTGACCGAAAGAAGGAGATCGCGGATACAAGCGGCCAAAATTAGTTTTGTCCACAGGGTGGCTAGGCTCTCCCTTAGAGATAGGGTGAGAAGCTCTGTCATCCCGGAGGGGCTCGGAGTAGACCCGCTGCTCCTCCACATCAAGAGGAGCCAGTTGAGGTGGCTCGGGCATCTGGTCAGGATGCCTCCTGGACGCCTCCCTGGTGAGGTTTTCTGGGCACGTCCAACCGGGAGGAGGACTAAAGGTAGACCCAGGACACGGTGGAGGGACTATGTCTCTCACCTGGCCAGGGAACGCCTTGGGCTTCCCACGGAAGAGCTGGCCCAAGTGGCTGGGGAGAGGGAAGTCTGGGCCTCTCGAGTTAGGCTACTGCCCCCGCGACTCGACTCCGAATAAGCGGAAGAAAATGGATAGATGGATGTCTATTGTTATTTAGTTCATGGTTGACTAAAGCTTATTCAAAAACTACAAAAATGTTAAGAAATATTTTTAAATCGGACCCACATGGTCTAATGAGAGATGTTATTTGGGGATTTGTGCTCAACAAAGCATTGATGCCCTTGCTTTTAAAGGCCATCAAATCCCATTTGATAATAATAAAACGGCCAAATGTTCTTAGAACAAACTTGTATTTTCAAAATCACCCAAAAAACGAAAGTGATGTTTGTTCAAGTTACTTATTCCTTATACATAGCTTCTACATAATCATGTCCTTCCGTTACACACACACACACACACACGCACACACACACACACACACACACACACACACACACACACACACACACACACATTGTCCCAAGTAAACACCAGTTAATACAACATTTTACCATCACCAACTCCAATTATTACTAACGTAACATAAACATATGAATGGGGAACCTTAAAAGTGGGCCTTTTATTGACTTATATCACACTGAAAATTTACATTTTTAAATGACATAAAGTCTACATTTTTGACCGATCCTTTTATTTCAGTGCTTCTGGTTTCCAGATGATGTCCAAATAACCTGTTCGGAGGCTTCAGGGACCACAGTGTTCAGTGTTTTCTTTGACCACTGTCCTTTCTGCATATTTGCCTAATTACTGGGAGCTTTGAGACATTTCTCAAGAAGCCACATCGGTTAATAATTGGCCACTTGATGATTGCTGCAGAGATCTGCCCCTTGTTCCCATAGACACGTCCCAACACATGAACTCCCAAGGCATCAAGGTGGAGGGAAGTTTACTGCAGCTGCAGGAAAACTCCCAACAGCCTATCTCTCTCCAATACCCACCTTTTTCTAACGCTTAAACATTTTAATGCAGTAATTTATAAACGTAACTCCTCTTTGGCTCTCTGAACAGCGCCGGATATCAGCGCTGCGCATCTTGTCGGTGCACTAAGCCGTGACAGTTTGGCAGAGATGGAGCGTCTCTGATTACATCAAGATGGCAAGCTGATTCCAAACTGTGATCCAGTGTTGTGAGTCGAGTCTCTGTCCGAGTCGCAGCTGTCCGGTGCAGACATGAGCTCAGACAGGCCGAGCTTTCTCTCGCAGCCCGTGGTGAAGAACATCTTCATGTTCCGGAACGGGGACCCGTACTTCGAGGCCCGTCGGATCGTCATCAACGAGAAGAGGGTGTGTAACTTTGAGACTCTGCTGCGGGAAGTTACCGGCGGGATCCAAGCTCCGTTCGGAGCGGTCAGGACCATCTACACCCCGAGAAGAGGGCACAAGGTGGACTGTATGGAGAGCCTGCAGAGCGGGGAGCAGTATGTGGCAGCAGGGAAGGAGAGGTTCAAGAAGCTGGAGTAAGAACAATTTGCTTTTCTTTTAGTCACTTCATACCAGCAAAGACATTTCAGTGTCAGAGAGAAAAAAAATGCAAGTTTATTTGCTGTGAAAGTAACTAACAATACATTTTAAACAGAACTTCAACAGCCAAACACAGGTGTGTTGGCGTGATGGTCTTGGGCAGGGGAGCCACCAAGGGTTTGTACCCCATTTGGCGCCCCTTGTCAAACGACTAATTAAGATTTATTATTATTTTTTTATGGATTTTATTTTAGGGTTGGGTTTTAAATTTTGGTTTTAAAAAAATCCACACAAATTTACAATCAATGATGAACAAGAGTCTGCTTCTAGACCTGCAGAAAGAGAAAATTAAACAAAAAAAGGGACATGCAACAATAAAACAGGAGCAAACTATCACTACATCAACTTGATGAGAAAGAATAAAATCAACATTGTTTTTACTGAACAATCACACAATAATAAATCACAGTGCCTTTAGTGCCAACCACAGCCTTGTTGAAAATGCCCAAGTCCAAACTTATGAGAGGAGCAACAATGTGGATTTGTTACATGATACTCTTAGCCTGGCAAGCCATCCTATATATGTGAATCTACCTGGCTACCACCCATACACAGAGCTCGCTCACGGGGCAGGAACTACATGTCTCTGCATGCTATTGGACAATGACAAATGCTAGTTAATTGGCTATCTAGTGATTGGCCCACCAAAACTATAAAGCACTATGATTGGTCCACCAAAACCATAGAGCATTATGATTGGTCCACCAAACCAATAAAAACATATGACTGGTCCACCAAACCAGTAGAGCACTATAAATTGAAAGACACTAGACTGTTCAGGCCTGTGGAGGCTCTGATGGAACGTGGCTAGACTGACCTACAGAGAAAAAACATATTTTTCTGTTTAGATGTCCAGCCTACGATACTCTGGGATAAGTAACTGATTTAACTGATGAATTTTACATATTTCTTTAATAACAAATAAAGGATTGCATGAAGGAATAAATGGAACCCATGTTTGTCTCTAATTGTGGAAATTTACATTACTGAAACAATAAAAGTCAATATAAACCGATGCCACACAATGGGATATACAAGAGTTACATTTAAACACTGGTTAAAGAGATGAGCAGGTATTGTTGAGCCCAGGCCTGTTTTGGATTTGCAAAACAACAAATGTACATAAACAGCTAAATAAAATAGTACATTTTTACACTTTATATTTCTAGACAACAATTACACTTAAAAACTAGCTTACAAAATTGTATTCCCAAGAACAAATATCATGTATGAAACTAAACAAAGTGACTGTTTTATTGCAGTATTATTGCAGTATATGGGATATTGTATCAGATTTGCGATTTTACATGACCTACATTAGACTTGTTGGCTGAGTCGTGGTATTAACCTTTCTGTGACTCATCCATTGTATGTCGCTGAGTCACAGTTGCAAATGAGATCAGTCTTGAACGTGACTTGGTTCATCCCGACACTAAAAATAACTGGATTTAAGGATGAGCTGATATGATTTGTGCAACCGGTGACTGAGTGGATGCATGTTTGCAAGCTGCCACTAATCATTCTGTTGCAAGAACAATAGACCCACTTTTGCTTCTCCAGTGAGTTTCACCATTTGGTCAGCAGAGTCATTGGCATAAACTTGCTCTTGACATTGGTGGGGTCCTATTGGTGGTGCTAATAAAAGAGACTCTCGAGTTCATGGCCGTTGTCCTCTCTTCATGTGCAGATTTTATACAGTTAGCGTCATCTTCTCAGGACCCTTGGTTACACTCAATCGCTTTTAGCCCAACGTATCACTCATGTCGCATTGCAAACACAGGAGTCTTGCATATGACTGGAATGTTTTCTTTCATGCTTTGGTGCTGCTAACAACCGGTGTCGCAGAGGCGGTCAAATTATTGGTGGAGACTGTTTGGTCATTGCTGGATAATGGTGGGGACACGTCACCTTCGTCCATGCCAAATCTAAGCCCTTCGGTCAGCACTAGTACAGTGGTTCCAAACATTTTTTCATGAGGACCTCCTTTCCTGTGTCCAAGACAAGCCAGGGCCCCCCAACCCCAACTCTTTCCTGCATGCACACAATTAAAAGTGAATAATTAAAAACTCTACAGAGTCATGTCTCTTACACAGATTAGTCATTGTACTATTGGATGTGTTATCCGGATTTTATACAAGTAATCTTTACAAATATAATCTTGATAATCTCACATATCAGCATTGGCATAATTGTAGGGACCCCTGCAATCTTGTAGGAACCCTTTTGGGAGGGTTGCAGACCCCAGGTTGGGAACCGCCACTCTAGTATAATAATCACATGCAACTTTAAAGTCGAACACCCCCCACTGATGAAAATAGTAACTTATTTGTAAACTATTCTCACTAATACATCATCAAAGCATGTATGATTAACTCAGTTTTCCTGATCTTTACACTTTCTCTCTAGCTACCTACAGATCGCCCCCAGAAAGAAGAAGATGATGCAGACTCTGCCACTGCAGGTAAGGCAGGACAACAGCCAGGGGTTCTGTATGTATGATCAGGAACTTTATTTCACTATGGGTTTGATGTAAGAACATTCTTCAACAAGGAACATGTCTCTTCATTCAGCTCAAACAAGTGAAGGGCCGTTTCTCAGTACTCTAGTACGTTCTTGTGTTCTTGGCAAGTACAGCAGAAAGTCCATTCTACCGAGTACAGGAGGGTGAGGAGAGCGTTTGGAACAGAATCTTACTCAATTGCATCACAGCTAAAAACAACTTCACGCAATGTATTATGGAATACTTTGTTGTCTCAAGTCCAAAGAAGAATGCATTGATGCATCGTCGATACAAGGAGCAGAACAAGAACACTTTGAGCGAACTTGCCACGATACGTACTTAGGATTGGAACAGTATTGGGCCAGCGTTGGTGACGTTTCACAAGGATGAAAGTACGCATGTTCAGACGAGTATGCAGTAGGAGAAACAGCCATTGTTTAAATTTAAAAACTAAAGATGTGACAGATTTACAAAGACATGTAAAGCCTGGTGGATTGCTCAGCATTCCTCCTCTGTTGTTGTCTGTGAAGAAACAGGTAGTAGATGTCTCAGTAACCATGCATTATTGATTTATGGATCATAACCATCCCTCCTTTTAATGCATCTTTAATCACCAGCTCTGGAGTCACAGCCAAAGAAGGAGCAAGTTCACGTGTTTAGAAAGGCACTTTAAAAAAGGGTCTCTGAATGAATTTTATCCAGAGAAAAGTTAGTTTCTGCTACATCAAATCAAATCATAGATACTTTATTAATCCCAGACCTCAGTGGTCTAGTGGTACGAGTGTCCACTGGGACTGGGACATCGAGGTTCAAATCCTGGTCGGGTCATACTAAAGACTTTGAAAATGGGACCCAATGCCTCCCCACATGACAGCATTAAGGGGTTGAACTGGGGGCCAGTGCTGGTGCGGTTCAAATGAAGAGATGTAATTCCACAAGTCTGTGATGATGACTAATGGGACTTTAACTTTAACTAAACCTTAAAATCAGAATTTGTTGCAATGAGAAAATGTAAAAACATTATAATCACACACAACGTGTCTAGCCACCAATTTTGGTCTCCTTGGCCAGGTCCCCAACATGCATGAAGAGATCCTGGGGACTAACAAGTAGCCCACCTTAGAATGACTTGTATTATGACAAAACTTCCACCAGAATATTCTAAGCCACTCCTAAGTAGGGTTGGGCATCGAGCATCGGTTGGAACTGGAACAAACTGTGAGTTTTTCCTGGAACTGTTCAAATTTTATAATTTTGATTCCTAATTTCAATTCCCAGTGCACCGACCAGAAGAAGAATCCACGGCCAACCCACGGCTGTGAAAATGACATGATCTGCTCATTCTGATCCACGCCTTTCAGAGCAGATCGTGCCACCTGTTTGTCCTCTCGCCGAGACCCTGGCTGCAGCATCGCGTCTTTCCCCCTCCCTTCCCTCACACCCGACACACAGCGCCAAAAATTTAAACAAACGTGTCTGTCAACTTTGTGACATTGATGAAGTGATGAAGTTTGCATCCTGCTGTGAAAAATACTGCGCAAAGGAAGCTCATTACAAATGCATAAACACTGTGAATTTAATACAAGTTTTAAAGAACGAACTCTGGTCGGTGTGAGATGAGTTTTTAAGTTTCAGTTCCTCTTTTGACTTAATCAGTGCTGCTGCATGTTGGCGTAGATTCCCAGTCATGCCAGACACGATCATCCTGAGTTTTTGTTGCTGGACTTTCTATCTTTAAGACATCCTAGACGCCTCATCAGTTCCCCATAATTTGATGTGGTCAGAAACAAACACACAGATTGTGCTGCAGGTCTTTTATTCTTGAAAACCTTTTTTTTGTCTAAATTAAGGTGTTTATTGTTCTTAGAATTAATATACACATTCAGATTATTTCATAAAGTAAGACTTGATGCCTCTTGAAGGATCAGAATAGGAACTGGGATTGAAACCAGAATTGTTCAAATTAAAACGATGCCCAGCGCTACTCCGAAACTCTGGAATGCATTTGATCTTTCTGTGCGTCTGTCTCCTTCACACGCACGTTTCAAATCTAGCCTTGAGTTTACTATGACTAAATGTCATGTCTTTGTTTTAACCTGCTGCTCGTTGATTTCATTTTTAACAGTCTGTTTTATACTCTTTGATTGTGAGGGGCTCTTTTAGTATTAGTTTGACTGTTTTGAGTCTGTTTCTGTCGTCGTCTCTTGTGTTAAGCACTTTGATCAGCTGTTTTTAAATGTGCTCTACAAACACATTTGGTATGGATTTATTAAACCAGAGTTTTCTTAGATATATCCTTCCATTAAATTTATTTTCTGTCTGTTTGCTTCTACATGTTAAAATCTACGTCAGCAGTAGCTCAAGAGGAAGAGTGGGTTGACCAGTAACTAGCGTAATTTAATCCATTAGGAGGACTGGGAAAGCTGCTAATGTGGCGTTCAATGACCAGGAGAAGCTCAGTTTTTTACAGCACTCTGTGAGACAACAAAGCTCTGTGAATTATATTGTTTTAGGGGGTTCCAACATGTTTTTTGGTGTTGCGAGTTTAGTAATGGAGATATTAAATGAACACAAACAATGTGGTTCCATTCTGCTTCACAAACAACTCTTCTAATTTTACTAATGCTGTTTTTTTATTTTTTTGGACAGTGTCTGCTGAGTCACAACCAGTCAGCGTGAGTTAACCAAAAGTTACACTCAGAGAAACTAGAAGTACTCAGAACTCCTACGTTTTGAGTTGAACAGAATTAATTAAACTTTTTCTCTGAAGCCTGTGATAAAAATGGGAACAGAATTACCTGTGAGGTCATTAATCTTAAGAGTAAAATACAGGAAAAATAAACAACCCATAAACGTTTCTTGGTGAAACAGAAATAGTTCAGAATAGTTTGGCTTCCCCATATAGCAAAAACGTATATGGGTGTATTTGTTCTCAGGTGTATAGACTAGGGATGTGTATTGGTGAAATTCTGGAGATGCGATACAGTGGGGACAATTTGATATATTGCGATACATTGTGATACATTGAGCCAGACGATATTAGCGATTAATTTAAACTGAAATTATTGTAGAAAAATTCAGTAAACAGTCTAAACTGATACATAACATGTTTAACATGAAGTATGTGAACCATAAAAGAGGGATTTACATTTTAATAGTGGAAACAAAACCCATTGGACACTGCAGCTAACTAGTCAGTGTTTGAATTGCACCAAAAGAAAAGAAAATACACAAATGTTTGCATATAAATTCTTCCAAAATTGCAATACACAACTTTTAAATATTGATTTAATATTGCAGGAAAAATATTGCAACATTTTGCCGTATAATCTTGTGTATAGGTTGCAAGGATAAAAAAAACCTTTCCTGTCTTTAAAAAAGAAGTTAAAAAAGCCATATCAGTATTTTCTGACATCCCTAATGGGCACTTTAAAACAAACTAAGGGTATTTTTGATCGATCTGCAGTTAAAACTGATTGTGATGGTGAACATCACTAAACATCCAAACTCTCTTTAGAATGAAATCAATCGTGCTTTTTTCTACTCGTTGCTCCGGTTATTAGCTGAGTGGGTTCTGCACGTCTCTGTTTGGTTTAATTGTGTTGTTTCACATTTGACAAATCTAAAGATTTCATAATATTTCAGCCTGTATTAATTGTGACATACAAATTACTACAAGTCAAACTTTAAAAAGGGAAATAATGGAGCCTTCACTCCTCAGTTGCCAGGCTGTGCTCACAGACCCCAGAGGACCGTTATGTTCCTGCGTTGTATTCTCACTTGGTCGATGTCTCAGAGGCGCTGTAGACTGCAGGTGTTATGAGACACAAAAGGCTCAGTCTCTGTCCTATCTTCTGTGACTAGTCTCACACAACTTATGTCTTTAACGCTGAATTAGAAAAACAGACGGTAGTTTTTAAAGGTCATCAGTGTGTGAAATAAACATATTGGGACACCTGATGCTGCTACATGTAGCAGCTGCAGTTGGATTTGAACTTAAATGACCTGAAACCCTCTCAAACCACTGCTCAGTACTAGCATCCGTGTTTCTTCAGTCTCCAGTCACAAGTCCCTAAAGTTTGAGCAGGTCTGTTTTTCTGAGCCTCTGAATGTTCTTTCACATTCCCCAAAGGGGCCTTGTGATCATTCCGGAACTGCGCTGCTCTGGGTGGCTGCATGTTGGAGTAGCTCTGTTGAATATTTGTAAGTTTTGCCTTTTCTTGGACATTTTTTCTTCAAGTTTCTCAAGAAAAATGTTTTTTTTTTTTTTTGGACATTTTACTTTTCTGTTTCTGGTGCTGTGAAGCTTGGAGGATTTTTACTGCTATTTTTTCACTTTTTTCAGTTTTTGAGCATTTGCTATGATGTGTAACCATGGCAACAAGCTGATTTACAGTCTGGAGCACCTGATTAACATTGGAAAGGCTGAAATAATACCTCAACTGAAGCTACAAATCCCAAATGAGCTAAAACGCAAGAAGCGTGGGTGCAGAGCGGGAGCAAAACAGAGACAGAGAAAGAGGAAATTCAAACCCTCTCTTCCATCGATCATAATGGGCAATGTGAAATCACTGGCCAACAAGGTGGAGGAACTCCAAGCTCTTTCAAGGACTCAGCCAGAGTTTCGGCCATGCAGTGTTACGTGTTTCTCTGCGACGTGGCTGCAGGACCATTTCCCGATTCCAGCGTCTCTCTGCCAGGATTCCTGACTGTACGAGCAGACAGATCTGAAGAGGAGCGAGAAAAGAAAAGGAGGTGGAGTGGCAGTGCTTGTCAACAACAGATGGTACCATCCAGGTCATGTGTCAGTAAAATGTCGTCTCTGCAGCCCAGATGTTGAACTCTTGGCAGTAAGTTGTCGCCCATATTATTTGCCAAGAGAGTCCACCAGTGTTGTCATGGCAACTGTTTATATTCTACCTTCAGCCATTGCCAAAAATGCATGCGATGCCATCAGTTCCATTGTCGCTAAGCTACAAACCCAGCACCCTAATGCATTTGTGACTATATCTGGTGATATTAATCATGCCTCGCTCTCTGCTACACTTCCAACATTTCAACAGTTTGTCAGCTGCTCCACCAGAGATAACAAGACATTGGATTTGTGTTATGCAAATGTAAAGAATGCATACATGTCCAAAACAAGACATCCTCTGGGACAATCAGATCACAATCTTGTTTTTCTCTGCTCAGAATACAAACCACTTGTTCAGAGGCAACCTGTGACAAGAAGAACTGTGAGAAAATGGTTACAGGATGCTGAAGAAGCCTTGCAGGTTTGCTTTGAGACCACAGATTGGATGACTGTCAAGGATATGAAGAGGACATCAATGCCATGACTGGATGTGTCACTGACTATATAAACTTCTGTGTGGACAACATCATACCCACCAGAACAGGGAGATGCTTTGCTAATAACAAACCCTGGATCACCAGTGTACTGACAAATCTGCCAATTGAGAAAAAGAGCCTTCAAGGAGAGAGACAAGGAATTATTGTGGAGTATACAGAAGCAATTGAAGATCAAGATCAGAGATAGCAAGGAGGCATACAGGAAGAAGCTGGAGAACAAACTACAGAGGAACAATATCAGAGATGTCTGGCCAGGGATGAAGAAGATCACAGGCTTCAAGCAGAGGAAGGATTGCACAGATGGCAGCGTGGACATAGCCAATGAACTGAACAAGTCCTTCAATAGGTTCAGTTCAGGAACAAACCCAGCATCCAGAGCAGCTCTGCACAAGGCCTGTGCAGCTCTGCACAGGCCTTCATTACCTTCGCCTGGATTAAAGACTACCTGACAAATAGACCACAGTTTGTGAGGCTGAAGAGCTGCATATCAAACCAGATGATTAGTAATACTGGAGCACCACAGAGGACTGTACTGTCACCATTCCTTTTCACCCTGTACACCTCAGACTTCCAGTACAAATCAGAGACCTGTCATCTACAGAAATACTCAGATGACTCTGCAGTTGTTGGGTGTATCAGAAATGGACAGGAAGCTGAGTACAGAGAGCTGGTGGAGCGCTTTGTGGCATGGTGTGGAAACAATCATCTGACCTTGAACGTGAACAAAACAAAGGAGATCATTTTAGACTTCAGAAGAAACAGGGTGGAGTCAAACACTGTTTCCATCATGGGAGAAGAAGTGGAGGTGGTTGAGGAATACAAATACCTTGGAGTTCGCCTGGACAACAGACTGGACTGGAGAAAGAACAGTGAAGCCATTTACAAGAAGGGAAACAGCAGACTGCACTTCTTGAGTACGCTTAGGTCCTTCAATGTCTGTAGCAAAATGCTGCAGATCTTCTACAAGTCTGTTGTTGAGAGTGTAATCTTTTCAGCCATCGTCCGTTGGGGTAGTAACATCAGAAGCAGGGACCTGAAAAGGCTCAACAGCCTAATAAAAAAGGCTGGTTCTGTTCTGGGGATGACTATGGAACCACTGGAGGAGATAATGCAAAGAAGGATTCTCCAGAGAATCAAGAAAATGATGGACAACCCTAAGCATTCTCTTCACAAGACTGTCCGACAATGGAAGAGTGTCTTCAGTCAGAGGCTTCTTCAGTTTTGCTGCAACACTGACCGCTATGGACCGCGCTTCCTGCTAACAGCCATTGTAATATACAATAACTCTTTGATGACTTGGTTATTATTATTATGAGCTACTACAGCAATCAATTTCCCTCTAGGATTAATAAAGTATTTTTGAATTGAATTGAATTGAAGTGATCTAGTAACGAGGTTTCAGGGGTTGGCTGTTGTTACAACACAAAGTAAGTCATAACTTTCTGCGGATGCTTTTTCCATCATTGCCCATTTAACATGTAGACAGTGCCAGACGTAATCTGCAGTCCCTTCAGTGCCTAAATAACACATCCACAGTCTTGGGGTCATTTTTGATAGTGACCTTTCATTTGAAAGACTGATACATTCTTTGGTTGAAGGCTGTTTGTTACAGCTTCGGCTTTTGCCCAAGGTCAAACCTTTTTTTTATCGCGGAGGGATATTGAGATAGCGAATCATGGTTTTATCTTATCACGTCTTGATTTTTGTAACTCTATATTTTGGTATCAACAAATATTGAATATGGAGGTTGCACCTGGCCCAGAATGCTGCAGCTAGATTCTTAGCCGGTGCAAGGAAATGTGACTCAGTGTCTCCGATTTTAGCTTCTCTGCACCGGCTGCCAGTCAGCTTTAGAGATTGGTGTAAAATGTTATTTTTGTTTTTTTAAATCTTTGCATGAGAAGACGCCTACCTACTCATCTGACCTGTGTGTTCTCTATTGCCCTTCCAGAGTACCAAGGTCCTCTGGTCAATTGACCATCTCCCTCTTTCCTATTAACTCTCTCTCTTTCTTTACATTTTTTAACCACAATTTTCAATTTTTGCTTATTTTAAACATTTTTAATAATTTTCAAAAATTTCTTTTTAATATTTTAAATGTTTTGTTTTGTGAAGCGCCTCGTGATTTTTTATCTTGAGAGGTGCTAAGATAGTTTCTTCTTCTTCTTCTTGTGCATTCCCAGCACTAGATGTAAAACTAGAGGGGACAGGGCTTTTGCGGTTGCAGCACCTCGTCTGTGGGACTCTTTACCATCAACTGACCCGTTTAAGTCTAGGCTTAAGGCATATTTTATTCCCTTGCGTTTAGCAATCGTTAATTTAGTATTGTAAATAATGTTTTTTTTAATCATGCTATTATTTTATTCAGTATTTTCAGGAATTTCTGTGTGTGTTAAGCACTTGTCCACAGCATTTTGCTGCTGTAAACATGTCATATATAAATAAATTGACAATGCCTGCTGACGCTACATATTCACCTTTTGGTTTTCTTCTTTCAGGTCAAACCGCTACCTCCAAATAGAATCATCGTGTCGGCCCGGTTTCTGAAACCCATTAAAGAGCCTTGCCCGATATTGTGAGTTGACCAGTGTCGCCCTGTTTGGCTTGAAGTTTATTTTTTTATTTATTTATTTTTCCCAGAAGTGAGATACAGAATTGATTTATTTGTTTGAGAACTTAATAGCATTGCTGCAAATGCCAGAGTTAGCCAGTCCTCCACTGTTATTGAACAGGATAATCAAATACACCAAGATAAAATAATACACTCATACATAAAAATGTACGGTATACACACACATCTCTCTCTCTCTCTCTCTCTCTCTCTCTCTCTCTCTCTCTCTCTCTCTCTCTCTCTCTCTCTCTCTCTCTCTCTCTCTCTATATATATATATATATATATATATATATATATATATATATATAAGGGTGGCCTTTTATTGTGGGCAGTATAAGGTACACCTTTGCACTAATCATGATGTCAGATCAGCATCTTGATGTGGCACACCTGTGAGGTGGGATGGATTACCTCAGCAAAGCAGAAGTGCTCATTATCACACATTTAGACAACAATGTTTGAGAGAAATGGTAATATTGTGTATCTGGAATGAATTTTAGTTATTTAAGCCCATCTCATGAAAAATCGGAGCAGAAACAAAGGTGTTGCGTTTATGTTTTTGTTGAGTGTATTTATTTATATATATATATATATATATATATATATATATATATATATATATATATATATATATATGTATGTATGTATGTATGTATGTCTACATATATAGCTATATCTATCTATATCTATATATATCCATATCGACTCCGTGCATCATTCATCCACAGTGTGGTGGCGAATGGTGATGTTTTCAACCCTGTAGTGAGGCTCCTTATTCACCAGAGGATGATGGAGCAGTTTGATAACATCCTTGAACTGATTACAGAGAAGATGGGTCTGAGAGTCCTGGGAGGCGTTCGAAGGTAAAAACAGCCACCCTGACTGAACAATGATGCCGTTTCCACATCTTAACGGTGCTGCAACAGGTTCTTCCTGCTTCAGTGAAACCTGATTTTAGAGTTGTAGTTAAACTGGTGCAAATACATGAAGATGTCATTTTGACCGGTTTTCCGTTTCAGCTTGTTCACCTATAACGGCCACCAGGTGACAGATGGGAGTGAACTGGAGTGTGGGCAGCTTTATGTGGCCGTGGGAAGAGAACGATTTAAGAAGCTTCCGTACAGCGACCTTCTTTTCCCCAGGCCCAAAGGAACAAGACGGATCAAAGGGTAACCTCTCTCTGCTGGGGGGAGATCCACTAACACAGCCTGAGTAAAAACGTTACACGTATCTGTCAAGCAGGTTTTAGGTTAGAACATTTTATTCATGATACAAAACTCCGTGCACCGGTCCAACTCACATTGCAGTTTATTCAGTGACGGATCGGGCCACTGCCTAATGAGCCACCATCTTTAAATAATCATAAATACAGTCATGTGACAAACACCTGCTGAAAAATGCATATAGGTATACAGTAGTACTAAAACATAAACAAATGTTAAAAACTCTACTACCAAGTCACCATAACAGCTGTTAAACTGTTATCATTATTATCATCATCTAATATTAATTAGTGATATTAATTGGAAAGATCTTTCCAAATGTTCTCTTTTGTGCTCCTTGTGGAGGCAGAGTCGTCTTGTTTGGTGCAGTGTTGCTGTAGCTTTTGGAAAATGGGCCAAATCTCACCACAGGTCTGACTTTAGTCGCTGAGTCTGCTAGTGTGGAGGCGTGATGATGCCAACATGATAGGCAGTGCTAGGTGATTAATTACCTGCAGTAATAATAAGAGAGGACGTGCAAACGTTACAACTGCTGCTGCGTTTGAATTCACTCGTCTTAAACGGGTCAAAACCACGACATGCACTCTAAGTTATCGAGTATTTTGTGCACAAATGCTTTCGCGTGTTCGTGGTGTTTCCTCCCTTTGATGAAATATCTACTTTACAAATACTGCAAGTTTCCCCGTTACTATAACCAAATCTTTGAGCGACTGTGCCGCCACTTTACCTGCTGAGTAAATGCATAAGCTACATACTGTGCGTGGCGACGTCATTCACGTCGACTGGAATTGATAAGAGAATTGTTTTAAAAAACGATTCCTAGGAATTGAAACAGTGGGAACTGGTTTTCAATTCCCACCTCTACTACCATTACCTGTTTTTATTATTTTTATTTTTTTTTCCATATTTTTAGAAAATACAAAGATTAAAGAAAACAATTCACAGAAGCTGATACAAATATTACATTTCATATCTAATTCTTTAAATACGTAAATCAGTTTTGTGGCATTTGTGTGAGTTGTTCCCAGACAATCCCTTAGTTTTTAATTCATGTTAAAAATAAACGGTTAAAACTAAGCAAGTAATGAATGACTTCTTAAACAGCATTAGAACACGTTTTACATCCTAAATTATTAATATCACAGTTAACCTGAGGTTTTATAGGCTAAAGCATCTTTGTTGTGTATCTGTCTGCAGAGAAAGTTGACTCATTCCTGAGCTGAACAGAGATTAAACCTTTTATTTGATCTGTTTAGTATCCACATTTAATAAAAAAAATGTACTATAACAGCGACGCATCTTAATATAATTCTATTTTTTTCTTTTACAGAATGAAGGCTTACTCTTTACCACCCATCTACCGGTTTGCTAAACAAAGAGGAAACGTAAGTATTCAAATTGCATAATTGTACTTTCTTGTTTTAGCAACGTTCAGCGTGCAATTACACATTTACAACATGACATTTAGAGTAGAAGTAAGGAAGAGACTCGTCAGGTGCACAGGAAGTCACCAAAGGTGTCTGACAACATGGCAGCATCCAGATTTGCTTTCAGCTAATTTGCTCTCACTGTGCAGAGAATCACACGTCATGTACACTTCTGAATTCATACTCACAGTTCAGCAGAAGTACTGAGAAAAAAAATCACAGTTCTCTCTGTCTGTGAATGCCCACATGCAAGAAATTTAACCAGTTTTCACCATCATGCAACAAAACCTACATGTGTAAGGCTCTTGGGCTTTTATTGAGAACTGATGTGGGATTTTCTCCCCTAAATCCTCCAATTTCATCTTCAGATAATAAAACATTGCATTAACAGAATTCTTAATTAATACAAACCTTTGTTCAACAACACAAGACACAGTTATATTTGTTATGGTCTTCCACGTTTTCAATCAGTTTGCCATCCACTTGCCACAGAGTAAATCCACGGTTGGATCCAGTGACAGCGGAGATGGAGAGTCTAAAGGATCTCCTCAGAACCCCAGCAGCAGCAGCAAGGAGCACCTGTCCTCTGCTGTTGGGGACATCTCTCAGGCCAGACTCCTGTCCCTCAGGACGCGGAAGAGCCGACAGAGCATCACAGACAACGGTAACGCTGTCTGACTTCATATTTATGTCACTAGTAAAACTTACTCATGATAAACATCAGTAACTGAATTTTAATCAGCCACAAACTAACTCTCTAAAGTACGACACAACAAAGAGGCAGCGTTTCACACAGACTGTGATGTAACGTCCTGGCTATGAAAGCTTACACAACCTGCTGTGTGGCTTTATGTCCACACAGTGGCGCTATTGCTCTGTGAAGCAAACAACTTGAGCCAAAGAAGGTATATTGGGCCTCATGACTTTGGCTATTATCACAAGAAACACATGACATCATCCTTCGGGCTTCTGACCAATCTTATAATGTCCTCCCACAACTGTGTTAGTCTGTCTCTGGGTGCAAAACCAAGAACCCTGGAAAGGTTTTAGTTTTATCTGTTGAAACTGCTGAAATCACATAAATCTCCACAAATACAATAATTTTATTTTTCATTTTTGCCAACTGCAGACGACCTTCTTATGTCTCCAGCTGTTTAAAAAATATCACGTCACCTCGTCCTGCCTGACAGATGCTGCTCCTTCGCTCTTCTGGCAGGAAGCTGAAGCTCAGAGGAGCGTTGAGAATTAGTGTCTGTGGCTCAGGGGAGCTGGCATTTTCCATCAAAAGAGAGGATTCAGGATTGTTTGTGCTCTGTGTGCTCTCGTCTTCCTCTTTCTGCAAGCGCTTTTCTTTTTATTTATCTTGTAATGTCGTTCTCTAAATCCTCTGTATCAAATTGTTTAGTGTGTCTGTTACAGAGGCAGAAAATCACGTTACATTATTGGTAACATTGGATGACATTGACCCAAAATCGAATTAACAAAGAGACAGCTTAGAGAAACGAGATCAGTCATAAGACGAGATTGTTTGGTTTTGCTTTCAGACCGTTTCACTTCCCCGTTTTCTCTCCGCTGTTTGACCTCAAAGCGCTTATCTAAATGCAGCCATGTTAACAGGATGCAGTAGTTTGCTTATTTGTTTAGGTTTGTGGAGGGACGCTGTGAATTTGATGCAGCTTTAAAGATGTTTGTCTCTGTCCGTGGTGCTGAATGACAACTCTCCCCTCCTATAACAAAACCCATTCTTGGTGTTATTTATGCATAAAATTAACAAATCAGCTCTACAGTCATTAGCATTTCCAGGCTTGTGTTGATGTTTGGGAACACAGCGTTCATGTGTCTTTGGACGGTCGTTCACAGCAGCACACACACAACGGTTTTTGGTGTTTATTTCCCTTTGAGTAATCCTGCTGTAGCTGGGTTTGAGGTAAACACGTTCAGCTGTGATGCCAAAAGGAAGCCAGCCAAAACGCCAGCAGAGTCTTTGGAGAAGAACGCAACATTAAAACCACTTCTCTTCTCAGATGAGCCGGAGCCCTGGAAAAAGTACAAAAACGGTTATGTCATTATGCCGTGTGTGTGTGTGTGTGTGTGTGTGTGTGTGTGTGTGTGTGTGTGTGTGTGTGTGTGTGTGTGTGTGTGTGTGTCTGCATGTTTCAAAAGAGGAAAAGAAAGGGCAGCATGTTAGAGCCTCAAAAGCAATGAGATCAACAAGTGGATGACACAGGTATAGTAACTCGAGATACTCTCTCTTCTGTCGTATCAATTTGTGTGTGTGTGTGTGTGTGTGTTATATTCTTCTGCTATACCCGTTATTCACCGTCTATCAGCTGGTAGCCGGACTGAGTTTAACTCCAGCACTTTGCATGGTAACGCTTCACTGTTTTCTGCTTCCCTGGCATGAACACGGTGATGAGTGACAGCGTGGACACGGGGGCTGGGGTGGGGGTGGTGGTGATGCAACAACTCAAGCAGTAAAGGCCATAGAGTGAATTTGAAGCCACCATGACAAAGACATCAAGCTTTAAAGACATAACCAACAAGCCGGCATCTCGCTTGAGCCAACATGTTAAAGCCCATTTAAAGTGACAGTTCAGTGTGTTTGAACCATGGAAAAGTTTAGGAACAAGACTCTATTATCTGCTGTAGATCGCTGTTTGAAGAGCCTCAGTTTGGGAAAACTTATTTTATACACTATAAATCTGTATCATACATACATACATACATATATATATATATATATATATATATATATATATATATATATTACCAGAGATAATTTTTTTAGCCCTCCCATTAGCTGTTAGCTCCTAAATCTTGCAAGAACTAAACTCTATTTCTTCTGAGCTGAGGACATTAGAAAGGCTATTCGTACAGACAAAGTATTATTTGTATTTACTTGTTTTCACAGAAACCCGCTTTAGGAAACTCTGACCCATCCCTTTAAGAAAACCATTAATTATTGATGAAAACTGGCTGGCCTTCGCAGTTCTGTTTGGGAAAAACACATCCATGTTGGATTTGGATCGAGGCAATTAGCAGTGGTTTCTAACCTCAGAATAGAAATGGGATGTTTATCAGTGTTCTCTTTCTTAAGGGCCCCTGTGACCAATTCAGTTAATGGCTCCCCCGAGAAGAAGGGAGATAAAAAGTAAAAACACTACGTGTGAGAAGAGAAATGAATGCATCTGAAGAGGTGAAGAGGGGAGGATAGACAGGTGTAGAAGAGCATGAGGAGAAAGAGATCAAAATAAAGAAAGATGGGAATTGAATCTTAAATTAGACAAGTACGAGTGCTGAGCAGCACAGAGAGATACTGAGGGGTAGTGGCGAAGGGCGGGGCTTAGATAATTGCCTTTCATTTGGATAATCTCTCCATTTAGAGTCATCAAAGCAAATTTCTTTTTCTATGCCGTTGCTGGGGCCAAATTGCAGTTCTGAAATCAACAAAGAGCCTTGTGCATGACGACGGGAAGGACTGACAGACATGTATGCTCAAGAGGGGAGACAGGAAAGGTTAAGGCAGATGGAGAGACAGGCCTGCAGATAATCAGCTTTTTCCGGCATGCATCAGTGAGGACCTGGCTAATTAAAGCAGGGTGGTAGCAGGTACATTTATTCAGTCTCATTTAGTAAAGAATTCATATTATTGTAATATGTTTTAGTCTTTTTTTAAAGAAATCAACAGTAAATTTAAATAAAGTCGGTTTATTTTTTTCATTTGAAGGTATGATTTAATAATTGTTAGGCCGATCTTTAAGGCTCTGTTCTGCTGTAAGTGCAGCAGTCTTTTGTGCAGAAGTTCATGGTGTCTTCAGTTTTATCAGTCATCACATGCAGGTCCTGATAACCAAGGTAACTCAGTAAGTGCCTGCACTAAAACCTCGAGGGCGTTCGGTTTACACCAAACCTCCCGTTCTGAAAAGCCTGTTGCTTTCCTTTCATGCGCTCTGTCTCTGAGTGCTGCAGTTCACTTTCATGAAGGATGCACATTATCCCTCACACCCACTCCTGTTCCTTTCTTCCTTCATTCTTTATTTTCTTCAAAAATGCTAAATGAAAATATTCCAGTTTATTATTTGCAAGCATGGACATAATTTTCACTTTAGAAGTGGGGGACACGGGGGGTGGGGTGGGGGTGGGGTGTTATCTGATGGGAAACAGGCTTCAACACAAACGGTTGTTTTCCGCTTGGTCCTAGAGCTCAACCAGTGTCAATTTAATATAGCGTGATATTGTTTTTGGATGGTAAAAAGTGCAGGGGTCAAAACTTGACTTTGGAAAAAGTGGGAGGACATGTCCCCCCTGACCCCCCCCCAAAATTACGTCCATGTTTGCAAGTGTAATTTCAGAGGAATGAAGCGCACAGAGTGTAAATTGTCTTCCTGTGTGTGTTTGTGTGTGTGTGTGTGTGTGTGTGTGTGTGTGTGTGTGTGTGTGTGTGTGTGTGTGTGTGTGTGTGTGTGTGTGTGTGTGTGTGTGTGTGTGCGTGTGTGTCCAGCCTGATCACTACTGTTTTTCTTGAGTCGTAAAGGTGGATCCCTCCCTGCAGAATTAGCCCTGCTAGCATGCATGTATGTACAACGCCTGTCGAGGTTCTGAAAATGCAGAGGAACACACAAAAAGGCTTTGTGTCAGAAAAATGCTGAAAGACAGCTACACTCAAAGCAGATCATTTAGCCGTGAAGTTGCCAGAAGCTAGATTTGCATGTTCATTTAGGTGTTTGTTGCCTGTTCTTAGTTGTTTTTGCACCTTCACACCATCCCTGTCTATCCTTCATGCATTACTTTCATTCCTTTCATCTCTTTTCCACCACTGTGAAGAAAAGAAGGTTTTCCTGACTGATGCAGGATTATTGGATTAAAGAGTGGGGTAGCTGTACTAATCTGTCACATGAATCTGTTAACAAGTGTTTCAGCGGTGGCATACAACAGTGTTGGGTTAGGGTAATGTGTGGCACTCTCAACCACACTGTTACACCCTGATCCCCCTCCAACTCTCCTCCCATGTGTCTGTCACCTGTAATCTAACTCACCTCACCTGTTTTGGGTTGAGCACATGCGAGGTTTGTATCAGCCCTAAACACTGGAATGACGCCAGAAAAAAGGAAGCTGACTTTTGTGGATATTGGATGTTTATGTCATGTCTTAAAGGGGATAGCGCAGATTATTTACATAGAAAGGATTTCAACGGTCAAAGGAACTTCATTTAACCTTTAGGAACTGAACTGGATTATGGTAAGTCTTTGTTGGTTGCTTCTCACAATCTCAATCATTTCAAGGAAACACATTCCTTACAAAGTTTGCCTCACAGTAAAGATGACTTTCCCACAAAATAAGATTTATTCTGAGGTGTTTGCTCAGAGCGAGGACAGAGAGTTGCTCCTTTACTTGGTCTTAGTGGTGATCACATCTCCAAGCCTAGAAATCTAGACTAATCATAGCAGTGTAAAAAATACATTTCTCCACACATTGGTCCATAGTAGCCTCTGCAGGTCTACCATTGACTCGGCTCAATCACATCGCTCTTTGTTTGTGGAGGGACAATGGGTGGGCTCACCTCTACTGAGCACCGGAAGCAAAAGCGGCGTGGAACGGCACCGCTTCAGATAGACTCCATTATAGTCTATAGAGGGTAACAAACCAGCCGCAACTCGGCAATTT